TCTAGAAACTTTTTTACTTTTTGCTTGTTGATTATGCATATGTTTATCTTTGTTTCTCTTTTCTTCACTTCTTCAACTCCTTCTTATTACTTAGTCTAACTTAATCAAAATAAACTAAAAATCATCAAAAATATATGTAAATTCTTATAAAAAAAAATACATGATGATAGAGTGTCATTAGTGTCCCATTTTTATAGGGAAGGAAATGAATATGCGGACACTCTAGCAAATGCAGGTTTCTCTCTCCCTTGCCTCCACTAATGGTCTACCATGCCTGATTTCATTAGAAGAAGAAGAAGAAGAAGAAGAAGAAGAATATCCTATTGTTGCTATATAACCATTGAGTTTGAGTCGACATCTGTTGAATATTTAAATTTGGGCAACTCCTTTATCATTTTTGTTTTGAACTAGGATGTTTAAACCTTTGAAACTAAAATAATGATACATGGTGCCATAATTGAGTATTATCATATTTTGGTACTTTGATATACGTCATAATAGTGACATTGGAAAATATCACAAACATTCTATTAGATTAAATTTGTATGGATGCATTGAGTATTTTTTTTTCTTCATGAAACACTTTTCAGGAATCCTTTTGAAAGATCGTAGTGTGATTGTTTTGTTGAAGTTGACCTATACCTAATAGATTATTCTTCATGCCAGGAAAATAATAGACCTCAGTCACAACTTGAACGATTCCTCAAACGTGAAGCTTCAAATTTCCTCTTCTCATAACTCACATTTTTAACTATCTCCTAACTTCACAGATTCATAAATTTGATCATTAAAATCAAATAACCATTTTTGAATAGATAAACCATACCTCTTTTTGGACAACAATGGCAACACCTTCTTGAGTCATTAAAACTATCCATTTATCTTCATCAAACTCAGTTTAGCTTTCATTCTCCCCCCAATTTGGACATTCACTCTAATAGTTACCCAATTTATGACTCAATATACTTTTTGTTTTGCTAATCCCTTCCACAACCATAAGAGGCACGGCCCCTGCCGCGACCAGAACCACACTCAGAATTCGTCGTCTTGAGTGCATGATCTTCTCCTTTTGTGACTTTGCATGTGTTGTTCATGAACTAACTACTCTATAATTCATCAATTGATAGAGTGGTAGCATCACTTGATTCCTCAATTGAGTACACAACATAGTCGAACCTGGGTGTCATTAACCTAAGAATATTTTCAACAGTCAAGATTTGATTCATCTTCCCCCCTAAGCCTTCATATGATTTGTGAGTGTTAGGTTTTGAGCAAAGTACGTATTAATTATTCACTTTCTGCATTGCAAAATCCTCAAATATTTGTTGTAATAATTAAAATTATGCGTGTTTTTCCTTCGTTGAACCTTGATATTTCTTCATCGAGTCCCAAATTTTTTTTTGACAAACAACATAAATCCCCATGATTAAACAAGTGATTGCTTGAAATAAGTAGTTTTTTCCTTAAAATCTTCGAGTTTGCTCTCAAAAGCAACTTTTTGTTATTACATGGTGGCATCATCTCTTACAACAATGATTCTAATTTTAAAATACGCTATTAGAGTTGTCTTTAAGGGTGTGCAAGGCGGCTTACAGCACAGCGCATCACACTTTTTTATGATTAACCCATGAAAAAAGGCATTCATACACATATCCATAGTTAATTTATGGTTAAATATAGTCTCTTAAAAAAATGCATGACTAATATAAAACTAATATCAACTTCTTACATAGAGTCTCTAAAACTGACAACTCTACTTATTACTCTTTAGACCAGAGGAAAATTTTCATCAAAATTGCTATGTAATCATGGAAGCCATCAAATTTAGAAACCGAGGATTATATGTAATTATTATTCGCCATTAGTGAAGCAAGAAGAGAAAGAAACAATAAAAAATAAAAATTTGATAAAGAAGGGTAACAAACTAAAGTTAGTTGCACCTAACTTCTAAATATAAAAAAATAAAAATTTAGAGTGTATTTAGATGAGGTAATTGAAAATTTTGAAGGAATTTAAAATTCTAAGTATTTTAAATTATTCAAATTAAATTTATTTAGTTTTAAATTTTTTTATTTTGATGGAGTATTAAGATAAATCATTGTTTTATTTTTAGGGTCATTTTTATAAATTATAAAGTTTTAAAGTCAAATTGAAAAATAGGAACCAAATTGCAATTCTTAAAATTTTAAAGGGGCCAAATTTTATTATTTTAACAATTATTTTTAATTTAATTTGGATAAATTATTTGATAAACTTGTATTGTTTTAACAATTCTTTTTAATTTTTATCCAAACTATAAATTTTCTCAAAATCATTTTAAATTTCTTTAAAACATTAATTTCCTTCTATCCAAAAATCCTCACTTTTTTATTTAATTGACACTAACTCAGTTTGAGCTCGATCCTTGTTTGGTGAAAACATCAACGTTTACTAGATGCTTTATGTATGTCCAAATATACCAACATATTACATTGTAATGTCAATGCAATTTCTAACATGTTTTGCCCAAAATTCCTAACATGTTTTGCCCAAAATAATAACGTTAGTGTGTTTCCCTAGTGGCAAAATTTATTTTTGAATTAATTTATTATGTTAACAAATATATTTGAAAGTAAAATAATTTATGCTTTTTCAACTTTTAAGAAAGTGATTTTATAGTATTAATTATTTTTGTTGAACAAAATTTACAAATTTTTTTTTGAAAAAAGTTTTAAATAAAAAATTAGTTAAATAAATATTCTTAAAATATTTTTTTAAATATTTTTTCATTTTACTATAATTTTTTTAGATATTAAAATTTCAAAAAATCACTTGAATCTATTTCAAATATTATTTCATAAAAATCATTTTTGAGATATGTTTTTTATAAAAACTATATTTTTTGTTTAGATTTTTGATATAATGTCAAAGTTATTTTTTTATTTATAAAAAATAAATTTAAAAATTTTATATATTTTAAAATACATTTTTATAAAAAGTATTTTAAAAATATATTAAAAAAAACAACTTATCTTTTTAAAACTGAAACAAACGGATAATTGTGCTCTAACAATTTTAGTCAAGTTTGCAAATTTAATTCTCATACTTGTAAAAGACAAATCAGTCCCTGTTAAAAAGTGAATAAACCAAAGGTCTTTAATTTCTTATAAATAATTTATCTCTTGATAAATTTGAATTTTTAGGCTATTTAATCCAACCTCAATAATTTCAAACAAAAATTATGATTTGCTTGCTCATTGCATCAACAATCGGTTTGACAACATGCATTAGTGGGCAGCTCGTTTGTGGTCCCATCTTTGTAGCTACTATGATGTGGATAAAATAAAAATATTGACTTTCATAGTCTTACTCAAATTTCAAGAGAAGTGATTGGTTTAAGATTTGTTTTGGATAATAACACATATTTAATGGTAGTGACATTATACTTCTATTTGTAAATTATTACTCGTAAATGAAACTTTTTATATCGACATGTTAAAATCAATCCGTGACTCACTTGAATTAATTACTACTCCATTGTTTATAAATTGAATAAATAATTAAAGACAAATATATAAGGACAAATAGATTGGTATACCTGGGGAAGGTATTAGGTCACTGGTTCATTGATTGAGTCATTGATCAAATCGCATGACTAAACCGTATAAAATTGAATAACTCGATTAAATAAACATGACACTATAACAAAATTATTTAAATATTAAATCGGTCAAACCAGATGATTAAATATCTAAAAAAGTAACTAACACAAAAAATTTTAAAATATCATAATTTCAGAAGTTTATAATTTTAATTTAAATTTGAGTTAATTTAAATTTAAATTTGAGTTAATTATAAATTTAAATTAAATAATTGATTTAAAATTTTAATCAAGATATTAATCTTAAATATAAACTTATTTATCAAACATGTATTATCGTTTATTTTATGCAACACCTCTTCACAATTGATAAAAATCAATGATATCAATAACATGAGAGAAATTAGAGGATATTCAAATTTTACAATCTATCAATACTTTAATAATGCAATAATCTCTATTTACTATATTTAATATCGTTGTCACCAATTTTTCAACAACCGGTTCAATTAAATATCCAATCCAATAATTAAACCAAATTAATTACCACTCTCGTTTCACTGCCCGGTCCAATTTTTAATACTATTATTCCTATACTCATTTTTGTTTTATTTGTTTAGTTTTGGAGGGAAAAAAAGGGATTTAAAGGTTTTTAATTGCTTCATTATGATTTATTATGATTCAACTATATACTGAATATTCCTTTTCTCACTAAAATCTACACAAATCAAATATTGTAATGACTTATTATAAACAATTTATTAAATAGAACTTTTTAACAAATTTTAAGTGCTTAATATAGAATAGACTAATAAATACCTAACAAATCAAATATTTTATGCAACACTAAAATTTTATATGTAGTATTTCAATATAATTATATTTATACATTAACATAAAGAAATGGTTAATATTTATAAATCAACTAAGAAAATAAAATAAAAAAACTCTCAACCAAGATCAGCAAAAAAAAAAAAAAAAAAAACTAACATATAATATATCATATTTCAGTAGTTCCATGTCAACAAAGTTCCAAAACTGTAAATTTATTTTTCATCTTTTTACCCTGCTATATCAACTAAAGTTATTGGTTATGATATATGATTATGCTAAACAAACAAATTAGTGTAATCATAAAATCAAAGAATCATATTCCACTAATCAGTCAACGTTGCACAAAGTACTGGAAATCACCAAACCATATTTAGATAGGAACAATGTATGTCACTGCACAATACTAAGAAAATAAAGTGATTTTCATTTCTAATATACATATGCCAAGATACAAAAGATACAAGATACAAGAGTGTCGTGTGATAAAACGTGAAGGGAGTGAAAATCCCAGCAAAAGAATACCAATCCACTGCATCAATCTTGTTATTTCCTCTATTGACTCTTTCAGAGGATGCCCAGAAAATTTTCAATGGTCTATCAATGCCGAGTCGGTCTCGGAGAGAGGGGCTGCAACAAGAAAATTCCAGACACGCCAATTAACCAACAAAATTCCAGATTCATCATTGAGTGATTAGAAGAACTAAAAGATAAACTCCTAAAACAAAATCAGGTTGAAAACTCAACATACCAAGCAAGTCTTCATAATGTTCAGAGTCCATTATCATAGGTGGCGACAAAACTTCTTGTGCATCTTCGAAATCAAACATTGACCTTCGTGGATTAGATGTTTCATTTGAACCGGCATACGAGAGAAACCCGTTTAAATTGTCATAATCAGAAAGCCCTTCCAAGTCATTCAACATATCTGGATATTCATCAAACGTGCTCTCCTGTCCATCTGATGCATGACTCTGAAGCAAAGGATCATCCAATGGAGATACAAATAACCTTTTGCTCCTCGATGCCTTTTTTTCTGCATCCAAATGAGAAAAGCTACTCTCTGAAAGAGGGACATAGATGTGCTCAGAATATCCATCAGATTGGCTATCCAGAGATGACTCTAAATTGTATGACTGCAATGACAGTGCAGCTTCTCTTACCGACCTCTTCAAATTCTGGACAAAGAAACTATCACTACCTACAAAATAGAGCCATTATCAGAAACTTTGTTTCCAACATACAGACAATGAAACTTCCTCATAGAGCCATAAGCTTCAATATAATGAAGTGTGTCAAAGATCAATAATCAATTCTCCTAAAACGCTGAGCTAAAATGAGTATAGTATGATTTGATATCTCTTAACATACCCCCTCATGGCTCATGCAAGAGTCCTTTTAGCATAGAATGGACAGTGGACGAGCTCACTTCACTTTGTGCTTGTTAGCATATAAGAAAATATTTTTTATATGTTAAAGTACAACAGCAAGCATCAAGTCTTATCCCACTAAATGGGGTCAGCTATGGTCACCACTTCAGGTTTCGTAGAGGACCAAAGGATGATATTTTATCCCCTAACAAAATATTTTGGCAGAAATTATGAAAGTGTAGCGCACCTTCTGAACTTGCTACTTCGTTATTTGAAGGAGCATCCAAAGATTTAGTAACAGAAAGGTTCTCTGTTTGGCTGGTTTGAGAAGCATTACCATGCCGCCTTTGCACATTTCCAGCTTTCCCAGAAGATGGGGTCATGCTAAATAACTGAGGAAGTTTTAATGTGGAGGGACTAACAGAAACCTTGTCAAGCTGAACATTAGACATTCTTGAAGTCAACTCACTAACATCATCGGTATTACTTTCCTGAATAATAAAATTTGATAATTGAAAATATGGGTAAAATCAGGTCTTGTATTGTGAAAGCATCAAAGAAGAAATTGCTGTATCATAATAAAATAGTAGATTACCATCCTCCCGCTGCTCTGTGCTTGGATAGGTGGTGTTGACTGGCTATGATGTCTGTTCAATAGATGTGGAGTTAGATTGGAGGTCAAGCAATTCACCGTTTCTGTACACTCTGATATAGACTTCTGAATTGTTGGGGCAACGTCTTTGAGTTGGTTAATAAGCACCTGCAAATTAAAATTTCAACAATGTCAAATTCCTGGGGAGGAATCTTTCGAGTATGAGAACAGTATTTACAAGCCAACTCTGTATAAGTCTATAAGATACTAAACCCCCCTAATGTGAAGATGTGGCAAGTATGCAAACACTTGGAAAATCCTCCTTTAAAAGCTAGATATTAAGGAGGACGAATCAAGGAACTTATTTGATAAGAACTTTTTGCATAAGTGCTTAATTAAGTTGTTTACCCAAATGCCTAATGATAAAACTATAAATATTATTATCTTCATATACAAGCAGCTGTTAACAAAGCATAAATAAAGTGTCTGTTTGCAACTTAAAAGAAGATACTGTCCACAAACACTGAGATTGAGACAAGGCATATAATGCAAAAAGATATTCAAACCCTCAGTCAAGGCATGCTTAAAAGATCTCTAAACAGAAGTATTTATATACTCTCATAAATAGCAACCCAAAACAAAAGTGAGGTTTTTTCTATGTCAATTGTAAATCTCTGCATATAAAAGTTCCAAAAAGGTCGATTAGCTAAATAGTGTTTAAAATCATTAAGGACATTATTTCTCCCATCAACGAAAAGCAGCAGAATCAATGAAGTGTGGTAGAGGTTGTCTAAAAACATTGTGAAAAAGCTCACGACAAATATAAAATGAAGCTGCCTTTAGAAGCACTTAAACAAATGCCGACAGTAATTTGCATATTTTGAAACATGTTTTAATGCTTCACCTGGAAGCTAGCCAAATGTTGCTGATGCTCTGCAAGGGTTGCTGCTAAAGACTCGGCGTGGCCACTTGAACCGCCTTCCTGTGCACTGCGCAATATATCTGGACCCTCTCCATCATTTGCTTTTGCCTACAGACAGTTAAAAGCTTCAATATGTAATAAAAAAAAGAGAACAGTGTAATCAATTTATTACCACTAGGAATTGTGATTCTGACTCTCAACACAGCACAATTGCATCAATAAATCAAATTGCCAAGTTTTTGGCGCAACACGGATTGGATTGTCCCTTTTGTTCAAGATTTTGAACTATAAACAACAGCCACTAATTATACAAATATGAAACATACATAATAAGAATATTGGCACAAACATATTTATTAACCAGGCATCATATGTTGAAGCAAGAGAACTTTATAATGATTTTAGAGTTTCATAATTCTCCCAGGTCTTTCTTACAGAAATATAACTGTAACAAAAGTAGAATCCTAGCTGATAAGATAAAGATGAAAATATGCCCAAGGTTTGACAAAAGTAAAGACATTTGACAAAGAATATAATAAAAGTTATCCCCTAAATAAAAGTCATTAGGTTAATACAGAACTTGTAGGATAGAAGTACAAATACAGGTCAAATTATTCATAAACCACAATATATTGAAGAGTCCAAATATTCAAATGCTAACATTCTGTCCGAGCATTAGGAGCTTGACTGACACTAATCTGATTTCACTTTTGGAAGTTGTTTGCTTTTTGTGCCATAGTTTAAGAAAAGTTCAAATGAGTTAATGACTTCAAAGTAAAAAACTAGTTGATGAAAAACTCGAGCCTCAACTCCAATTAATCATCAAACAAGGTTTCCAAAATTAGATATAACTACATTTGGCAAGGTGTAATGGAGAACTTTAAGGATCATTTAGTTATCCAAGTGCATGCAATGTACAACTTCAATAATCAAGCTCAATGCTGAAACATTGGGGGTTAACAGGGTGATTTTACTGATTCTCTTAGCACAGACCACCCCAAAATTATTATAGATACAGGGTTCAGATGCGGTTGCAAAGTTGCCAAACACAGATTTGATTCTGGTCTTATCATGCTTGACAGATATGCTATTCAGCTCAATTTCAAAAATTATGGGGAAAAATAAAAGAATAGTATGGCAGGTAAAGATTATAAAGAGCACACCAGATGAAGTGATTGTCTATGGATACGTTGCAAAGCATGTGTCCATCGCCGTACAACTTCTGCTATGTCAACAGTTTGGTGGACTCTCCCATTTCTGTCATCTACTGTTGTCAATGTCTCACTACTAAAATGAGATCCATCAACCGCCTCTTTGGTGTCCATTTGCACTGAAGACAAATCCCCAGACTCACCAGATAATATATCTGAATAAGGAGCCTGGGAACTCTGGTCCATGGCTGCAAGCAGAGATGATCCAGAGATTCGGTACCTGAAATTTATGTACAAAACAAAATGGTTAGGCAAAATATTTGATGACAGATATTGGAAAGGCAAGGAAAGTTGCATCCTACATTACCTATGCTCACGATGAGCTATCAAGTCCTCAATAGGGCCTGATGCAAGAACTTCGTGTTGACCTGTACATTAATATTGACAAAAATTAAATATCATTACCAGGCATTTACTCGACAAGTGCAGAGGGGGAGCAAAATATAAAAGTTTGCATTTACTTTTACGAGCTACTAAAGAATCCCATAGGCGAGTAGCCTTCGAAACTAAATGGGAATTCTGACTCGAACTTGATACGAGATCATCCCATTGTTCTCCTTCCAATTTGACTTTATTCCTTAAGTCATGCAGCTTTTCCAGCTCTTGTTGCAAATAAGCCTGAATTCAGGTTTTACATTATAATCTCTTAAGAGAAAGATGCATAAGGAAATGTCTAGACTGGGAGAGGTAATACGAACTATATCTAAATAAACTTGGAAAATAGACTTCAGCTATTGATGCACCTCTTCAGCGCATAACCCACGAAATTCGGCAGTCATTTCATGAGCCAAATTAGACCACATTGCCTGCCGTTGCACAGCCATTTCTGCACTTTCTAAAAATTTCCTTCTTTCAAGGGCTATTCTTGCCTGTTAAAGACCAAAGACTCCACTAAGTTACTTCAGACAAAGTGGTGTATCAACACAAGAACATGAAAGGAGAAGCAATGATAAAACATAATATAATCAAGTTATTAAACATTTATAATCATGATGAGCAATGATTTAATGAATTGCAGAAGAAATGGTCAGAGAAAACGAGGTATGAACCGTCTGATACTTTTGTACCCCGTCAAGAGTCTTAGAAACAGTTACTTCCTCCGTTTCATATTAAGTGTGTTGTTCTAAATATTTCTGTCTTAAATTATGTCATTTTAAAATTTCGAAAGAACAGTAGTTTCATTTGTCCGATAACATAACATCCTTATTTATATGTATCTCAAGTTCTAAACTACTCTACATTAATTAGTCATTCCACCTAACCCCAATAACAAGGACATTTTAGTCAAAAATGATTATTTTACTTTGGAAATGGGTGCAATAAATAATTTTCTTAAATCTTGTACATCACCTTAAACAACATTTAATACGAAATGAAGGGAGTACACCAAAGAAACAACTGTCTTTTGTAAAACATCAGAGTTCAAACTAACATTATTTTGATTCCACAGAGAACATGACAAGCTCCTCATAAGTGTATCTATTATCACAATGACGATACAAGAACATAACGAGAATCAGTTCATTCTTTCTTAAAATTTTATGGATTATTACTAATACCTTTGTAACTGGAAGTAGAGTAGCTGCATGTGAGAATGCTACATCAGTCAATGGCGTAGGCAGTGGATTAGATGCTATGTCTGAAGTAAATGTCCGTCGATGAACCTCTCTCAAGGCATGCAACGAAAGTTGCCACAAAAGCTCAACAAACCTACATTAATATGAACATTCAAATGATTTTAGAAATGTTTTCATAGGGAAAAGGTAAGTATTATGTAATAATGAGTGTGGTAAGGATATATGATAAATAAAAAGTGAGTTAGGATTCTTAGTTGGCATGTTAGTTATGCCTTAGTACTATAAATAGTGGTGTTAGTGAATGGTATTGTGTGAGAACATTGAAAAGAACCATTATGGTTAGGCAGAGGGAACTTATCTCCTCTGGGGTAGATTGGAATTCATTCATTTCTATGTTGTTCTCTTTCTTCATCTATTGAATAGTTTATATTTATATTTTCTTTACTTAATTTCTTACGATGGATTTTAGAGTTCCATCATTCTGTAACCAGCTTACCACTTGAGATTACCTCATCCAATTCTAATATAAGAAGAACAATAGAAATCTCTTCCCAAAGTGGGTCAATTCCTCTTTGGGAAAAACCATTTAGATCCAAGTCCTTTCAAATGGTTTCACTTGGCATTTTTCTTGGTCTCTCTTCTCAAATAATACTTACACTAACATCACGTCTTACTAGGCTGGGTTTCTATTGGTCTTCTTCTCGTATGATTTTACATAAAATTGTACCATACTTTCTTTAGATAATATGTGCTACCTTGTCTATTCACTCTCAATCTTATTTTATTCTGGATGTCCAGTCATGTACCAAAATATCCTCATTATATTGAATACAACACTCGGCTAATGCTCTTTTGAATTCCTTACCACCCAACATTCACTATCATAAAACATCATAAGAAAAATATTCTTATTTTTCTGATATTTTCTAGAAGGTAAAACTCTAATTACTCAATACAGCCAAGTAGTTTGTTTGCTCAGCGCACGAGTTCTATTTAATACTAATTGTCCACAAATTTTACTGACCAGTCAATATCTCTTCACTAACTACAAAAGAACTTCATTTCTTGCAATTAACAACTTACAAATATATCTAAATCTTTTATTTTTGAAAGACAAATTGAATTAAAACACCACAACACCAAGCACAAGGAGTGCAAGGAATTGGCAAAAATAAAAAGATCCAAACTCCAGTTATAGCACAACGGAAGACAACAATCCCCTAACACCACTACACCTTCGATGACCCCACAACAACAATCAAGCTTTATACCACTAAGTGGGGCCGGCTACATAGATCAACTTCCGTCATAATGTTTTATTTAGGTCTTCCACCATCTTTTTTCTACTATAGGTGTTACCATAACACCACCACACTTTCAATGACCCCACAACAACAATCAAGTCTTATCCCACTAAATAGGGTTAGCTCCATGGATAAACTTTTGTCATAATGTTCTATCTAGGACCATGTTTCTATCCAAATCATTAATCTCAAGATATTTCTTAATAACTTCTCTTATTGTTTTTCTAGGTCTTCTTCTACCTTTAGTTGTTTGACTCCTCTACATCTAATCTACTCTCATTACCACAAAATCTATAGGTCTTCTCTCTACATGCCCAAAACACATAAGTCTATTTTCCACAATTTTTTCTACTATAGGTGTTACCCTAACACGCTCTAATATTGTCATTTCTAATCTTATCATGTCTAGTCTTACTTCACATCCTTTGCTACACTTACTTTATTCTCGTGTTGATTCCCAACCGCATAGAATTTTGTCCCGTACAATATCACAAGTCTTACCGCAATCCGATAGAAATTTTCCTTCAACTTGAGTGATATTTTTGTGTCACATAAAATTCCTGAAACTCTCCTCTATTTCAGCCACTCTCTTGATTCTTGAATTCAATGGTTTACATCCACTTCTATTTCTCCATTGTTTTGTATTACGGACCCAAGGTATTAAACCGCGTGACTTGTGGGATCGTATGGTCTCCAACTTTCACCTTTAGGTTAGAAATTCTTCTCCTTTTGCTGAACTTACATTCCATATACTCCGTCTTACTTCTACTTAGGCGAATGTCATGTGTTTCTAAAACCACCTCTGACTTAAATCCACCTTTGACTTTCCAAGTATGACTATATCATTCACAAAAGCATGTGCTAACTCTTGGATGTGTTCCGTAAGTACATTCAAAATTGAAGTAAAAACGTAGGGGTTTAGGGTTTAACCTTGATGCAAATCTATTGTAATAGAAAAATCGTTTGTCTCTCCACCTTGTGTCCGCACACTAGTTGATATCCCTTCATACATATTTTAGATTTCTCAGATATATGCGATCCTAACACCTTCAATAACCCCCTTAGCCTAAAATAATTACAAGACAACAAACAACCCCAAACATATGCTAACAAAGGCGAGCCCAAACTGTTACACCCAAAGTCATGGATCCAAGGATACACATAATTATAAATAAATAAATTATAAAAAAAATAAAAAATAAAAACTTCCTATCAAGAAGCCATATAGAGATTTTTCTAAACAACACTATTGAAGACCGCCACCTAGCATCACCACCCCAACAAGCGACGACATAAAAAGAAGCAGAAAAGAGTAACAACAAGCTTCCCAACTCACAACCTTATGCTAGAGCTAAGAGAGGGATACAGCCTGCAACCTTAATCAATAAATCAATCCCAGCAAGTGCACAACCATTCTCAGTCATCACTAAATTGAACTAGGCTGACAATAGACATTTTTTTACTGAGAAATTAAAAAAGACAAACAATTTCAATTGGCATAGCAGTAGCAAGGCCCCACAAAGGAAATTATAGATGAAACATGGAATCTTGCATTAGCCATTTGGTCATCTTGAGGGAATAGATAGTTCAACTGGTTTGAGCTATGAGCTAAGGGTTAAAGAAATTGGAGAACCTGGATTCATACCCTGGTAAAGGAGATAAATACTAACCTGCCAAGTAATTACTAGCATTGCCCGTTTCCACAAAAAAAACAAAAATTAAATTAGGCAAACCCCTGAAATAAACTTATTTTCCCCAAAGCAATCAACCACAACACAAGCACAAAACACAAATTCAAATCACAAATCAACTCAACCTTCTGCAATCAACAATTACATTCAAATACCAACCTAGGTCCACAACAAGTAGCAAGTGAAGAAACCCTCGAATTGCTTCTAGGAAGCGCTCCTTGTGACTCAAGCTCACTAATAATCCCTTGCACAACCTACCAAACACATTACACCACACTGTTCAAAATCATTCCACCAAATCCATTCAAATTCACAACAACAAAAAATCCTAAATCTATACCTTACGAAAATCACGTGATTGAGCGGAATCAAAAATCGGCCAAACTTTATCGAAATCCTGAAAGATCCACACATAAAAAGCAAGTTAGAGCAACAGATCAAAGAGAAACAACGAAAACGCATAAGAATCTTGAGAGAGTGAAAAAATACTTTGGAAGATTGAATTGGTCCTCGAAGAGAAGAGAGAATGAAATACAGAAGCTGTTCTCCCAATTTAGGGTTAGAATGACGAAATGCTCCAACACGAGGAGTTGAATTCGATGCTCCGATTCCGATAACCGATGGATCCAAACCTAAAATCAAACAATTCGTATACATTGCACTTTCTAGTTCAATTTCTCGTTCTTTCTCTCTGTCCATCGTCATTACCTTCTTAAACGCACGTTTGTTTCCTCCGTGGAAAATACTCAAACGCACGATTAAGAAAAAGCTATAATCTGCTTTTCTTCTTTCTTCTTCTTCTTCTCTTTCTGTGTTTTTCTTTCACTGTGTTTGCGTTTTTTTGTTTCTTTATTTTTTTTATTTTTTTGAATATTTTATTTTTTTTCTTGGGGAAAATGGGTCCTTGTGTTGTTTGTAAATTGCGAAACGATGTCGTATGGATGGTGTTTTTTTGAATTTTTTGGAGGATAGTGGAAGGTTAACACCGTTTTAGGGGCAAAGTAGATTGACGATCGTTGCCGGCACGATTTGTTGTCGTTTTGCGCAACAATTTTTTACTCTTTCTTCTTCTGCCTATGAGTGACAACTCAATTTATATGATTTAGTTAAGTCTCAAATAATTGAATTCATCCCCTATAAATTAGGTGATTAGCAATATTTTACTTGTGTCGTCTTTGTGTGTAGAATTAATTTCGGTGATATTTGCTATCAGAATAGTATATGATTGTCTATTGTCAGCGCTTGATTGTTAGAATAAGTTGATTATAAAATTGTTTTTGAGATATTTCTATCTCGTTTGAGTGTTTTATTGTTTGTCATTTCATTTTATTCTTAACAATTGTTTATTTCACAATAAATTTGTTGCACATCTCTTATAAAATAGTTTTTCATATATAAAACATCTCTTTGACTAAAAGTCAACGCGAGATGATTTAAATAAGAAGGTTTTTTATTTGAATCAAGAAATTTTAAAATGCATGTTTGAACCATGCAAGTTCTTGATTTGAATCATGAATTTTTTTTTTTATTTCTTAAAAATTGGCTTTGAGAAATATGACTCGAAAATACAAAGTTTTGATTTGATTCATGATTTTTTTTATTTTCAGAAGTTGGCTTCGAGAAACATGACTCGAATAATACAAAACTTTGATTTGAATCATGAGCAAGTTTGAGAAATTGAAATTTGACATTAGAATTCTGATTTGAATCACACCCTCATTTGACTTAAATCATGAGGTGTGTCAATCTGAATCATGGTTTAGTTTGATTCAAACCATGAACAAAAAGTTTATTTTTTAAAACATATATAGCTTTTTTATTTGAATCATAATTGAGTGTGATTTGAATCACATGAATCAAATCATAATTTGAATCAGCCAAACCAAATTCTGAGTTTTCTTCTCTTGTTTCAAATCAATCTCTCACTAAATTCAATTCACTTTTTTTATCTTTGAATCAAATTATAATAGGTTTTCTGGTGTGAATGAAATTAAAAAATATATTTATTTATAGGACAAATCATGGCTCGAAAATTGAAATAATCCATGGACTTTTTAATGGTGTTAATCGATGATGACTGGATAGGTTTAATCTATTAGATAAGCTAAAAAAGGAAGGTTTTTAAATAGCGTCGTCACCGATTTAATATGACATCCTCTAATCGATTATAAGTGTCTCATAAGTGATAATTTATTATCCATAATGGTCTAATTGATTATATCATGCAAAAAAACTCTAATTCATTAACAAGTCCTTAATCCATTAGTTATAAACAGATTTTTGGGTAGTTTAAACAAAGTCAGATAGACTTTCTGATCATTCGTGCGTGTGTAATTTGTGTAACACCCCGATTTTTAAATTAAGATTTTATATATTTATTGGAATGTTTATGTGTGTTATTTGTATTATTTTGGTGTTTTAAGAGATTTAGGAATATTTTAGTAATTTAATACTTATTGGGATTATAGAGTTGAGAGTGAAAAATAAAATAAGATTAATTTAAATTATTAGAGATAATTAGATATTTTAATTACTTAGTGATAACTAAAAAATAGAAATTAGGAATAATTCACGTTTTTGAAGATTTTTCTTAAATTTTTATTTAATTAAAAATTTTATTTAAATAAAATAAAGTGTTATATTTTATTTAAAAAATACATCATTGAAATAAAATATGTGTGTCAGATTCTTTGAGGGGTGAGTGTGAGGTGTACGCCTAATTGGGAGTTCTGGTTGTAGAAAGTTAGTTTTCTTGGTCATGTGATTTTCAATGGTGGTATAGCGTTTGATCCTTCTAATGTAGATGTAGTGCTACAACTGAAAGCTCCTAAGTCAGTTACTGAAATTAGAAGTTTCTTAGGATTGGATGGTTACAACCAAAGATTTATCGAGGATTTTTCAAAGTTAGCTCTACCTTTAACCTATTTGAATCGAAAGGGTCAAACTTTTGTGTGAGACATTTAGTGTGAAGAAAATTTTCGAGAACTGAAGAAGAAGTTGACAACATCATCAATTTTGATATTACCAGCGTCGACAGAACCTTTTGTAATGTATTGTGATCCATCTAAGATGGGTTTAATTGGAGTACTTATGTAGAATGGGCAGGTGGCAGCTTATGCTTTGCGACAACTAGAGATTCATTAGAGGAACTACCCTAAACATGATTTAGAGTTGGCGGTTGTAGTTTTTCTACTGAAGATATGAAGACACTATTTTTATGGTTCTAGGTTCGAAGTATTAAGTGATCATAAGAGTTTGAGATATTTGTTTGATCAGAGGGAGCTAAATATGAGATAGAGGAGATTGTTGCAGTGAGAATCGGATATCAAGTTATTAAGTTAACTTGAATCACAAATCTTGAAGTTCATCGTCAACCTTTGATTTATCCCAAGGAAATGATAAAGATCGAAGAAAACCTTAAGTGTGTTATGCAACAACAAAGCTAAGAGAATCTAAGGTTCGGGGTTGGTTATACCTAGGGAAGGTGTTAACATCCTAAGCATTTGTAGTACTCTACAGGAACCTCTTATTTGTATTTGTGTTATGCTAAAGTTTGCTTTCTAAGGGAAAAAATGCTAAGGTAAAGATCTAGAGTATCTATAAAGTATGTTCGCCAAGACATTGCATCTCGTGCCTACGTATACTAACTAGGATGGAATCAGAGTATTCGTAGTTCACCTAACTACGGATGGTTGGTTGTTAGTGAGCTCGCCAAGGATAGGGATCCTCGTGTCTACGTAACCTCATTAGGGAATGAGGAATCAGAGTGTCTGTAATTCACCTAACCACGAGTGAGGAACTTTTGACTGTGACCAAGGTTCCAAAGGGGAAGAGGTAAGTGTCCATGGCATGATACCTACATAGAGTGCAGCGGCTCTAAACCTAAGGCTAGGTTAAAAGGAAAAGATGAGTAAATGTCCATGGCAGGAACTAACATAGAGTACGGAGACTCTAAACCTAAGGCTAGGTTAGAAAGGGGGAGTAAGTGTTCATAACCATGACACTCACATAGAGTACGGAGACTCTAATCCTAAGGCTAGGATAAAACGGAAGGAATGAGTAAGTTAGGCCAAGCTATCCTAAACATGACATGGCAGTCAACTAGGAATTCTTTCCTTTGGAATCTAGGCATAGGCAACAGAGGGACAAAGAGATAAACCTCAAGTATCAAATGTAAGATGAATAGAAACATGTAAAACCAATGCTCAAGAAAATCAAAAGCTCAAAAAGATAGGACAAACTATGGGAGACTGAATCCTAAAAGTTGTCATACAAGTGATGGTCCTAAAGTCGAGATTAAAGGGAAAAATCTATCATAATGTTGTCATGCTTGGATTGAGAGCCTAATGTCTATCTTACTCCAAGCTTAATCAGAAATTAAGTTGGACTATGAGACCCTAAGAGAATATGTTAATACAAAGTAATCAACAAGTAAACATTATGCAACTCAATCACAAAGAGAAATCAGACATCAAACAAGGCTCAAGCACAAGGAAGACTCAGGCACAAAGAGAATATGTACATGCATCATCAAGGAAATATTCACAAATGTTACCAAAAATTAGTCAAGAATTCACAATTTGGTTATGAAGAATTAATCGAAAAGTCACAAATTAATCGCAACCAAGATCAATCATCATGATTAAAGTTTAATCAAAATTAGCATTTAACTAAAAAAATCAATGTTGAGATTAAAAATCAAAATTAAAATTAAAAGCTAAATTGAAATCTAATTCAATATTAATTCCTAAAAATAAAATCTAATTAAACTCAAGATTAACTTATAATCAACAATTCAAGTCAAGGTTAATTTCCAAAACTAAAATTAAAAGATTAATCATCAATCAAAATCGAGATTAAATTCTACTGGAAAAAAAAAACCTAATCTAAAACTAAAATCTAACTCTAAAAAATAATATCTAATTTTAAAATTAATAAAGATAGAATTAATTTCTTAAAAAAACAAAATCTAAAAACAAAACACAATTAACACAAGGGTGCAGCAGTAACTGGGAGGTGCAATAAAAAATAGGTGTGCAGGTTGAGGTCTAAGGCCCATTGGCCTTTGCTATGCCTTCAGGGGTTGCAAATGAATTAAAGGGTGTTGTGTTGGAGATTACAACACACGGGCCATAGAAGGGTGCGAATGAATTTTCAACTATTTATATAGCAATTGTAGAATGATATTCGTTGGAAGAGATAACTTATACAAGTGTCTTTGTTACTCCATAATACAAGAGACGTTAAATATAGATACACGAATAAATCTTTATCCATTGTGTAACTCTTTTAACCATAATGTCTTCATTGTGATCTTGTACTCTAGATCTGTTGAGAGTAGATATATATAAAGCATGTCAACTCTTCTTGAGCCATGTGAACACAGACCCTAGCTGACAAATATATTTGATATTGTAGCCTACTTTCTACAGTACGGATAACTTAGCTTAGTCCTTAGTTGTGAATGATCATCAAAAGCTAATACATTCACTAAGTGTAGAGATGATATATTGTTCTTCTGATGTTGATACCTTCAGCCTCAGAGTCTATGCAAACATATATCATTAGACTTCACTTAATAATCTGTATCAATTATGAACCACCAAAATCCAATAACTCAATTTCTCTCAAGTGCATTCTTCTGTTAGATTCTGAATGGTTTATTCTTAAGCTTTAGAACCTGCAAACTTAGAACATATATTAGA